CCTCCCCTTCCCCTTCCCCTGTATAGAACACTGTGAGCCAAATTACAAATAATTTCTGTCTCAGTGCATCGCTCTTGGTATCATTAACCGTGTTTTTTTTGTTTTTTTTATCATCATCATTTTGGCAATATTTTTGGATAGTTTATTTAATGTGTATGTTTAATCTCTACAGTATGGATACAGATAGCTAGAGCAAATTGATGTTCTTGTAGTGGGAACAGAAATTTGTAGATTGTTGGCACAAACGAATGGCGTCCGGAGGGTTGATACCAGAAATAGAGATCACGGAGAGCGCCGCTGACACTCCGAGCCCTCTCTTTTCTCTCCTTAATTGATGATAAAATCATTGACAGGCTTCATGTTGTTAGAATACACTTAGCGAAAGTTTGTGGCCTTTGCCTGAGCGCCATTGAGGCAGAGATCATGACCATCGTTTGAGTCACAATGGTCGCGTCTTTTGGGAAGCAAAGGTGGATGCAGGAGAACGTGTACATCAGGACCACCCCACAACCCAGACCAGCCATCTTGGGTAATCCCGAGGGGAGCCTAAAAGCTCAAACTTAATACAGTGATTGCTATAAGAATCAAAAATCCTTTCCCAGGTTCCTCCTTCTGATCGCTGTGTCTCCCTTGCTGGTGTGGTCCTTTTGTACGCTTCAGAGCTGATCCATTTGCGCACGCACATCCACACCCCCTCAACTGCCTTTACTTTAAGATCTCCATCCTTTATAGGTAGTTCCTGAAAACGACAGAATGGGTCCCAAGGGAGTGTTTACAGTGCTGTTCATGGCAGCCCTGAGCAGTAGCCAGCTTGCAAAGGTAGCAGCCTCTTACCCTGTTTCCGGGGCTGCGCTGAGTGAGTCGACAGATGGCAGTACGAAGACGGGAGAGTGCACGTATTCTGACTCTCTTGGAAAGCAGATTCAGGTTGGTGCTTGCAATCTTTTTTGGTCTTTCTTTCTTTCTTTCTCTTTTCTTTCTTTCATTCTTTCTTTCTCCCTCACTTACTGACTCACTTTTCCTCCCTCCCTTTCTCCCTCTCTCATTTCTATCCCTGCCATCTTCTCTTCCGTCCTTCCTTCTTTCTTCTTTATATTTCTGTCTTTCTTTACTGTTTTTTTTTTTTTTTATAGCATTTGGTTGGAAGAAAGGAGGGTATTTATACTATGTAAGTGCATTTGGTTGTTCACAATAAATACCCTTATGTATTACGGAAATATATTGTGTTGGGAATTTATTTCTAGTCTCATCTTATCTTATAGAATGCATTTTTGGCACTTAAGAATACATATACAAAATTGACTTTTCAATATTCTAGATGTAGTGTATTTAGGGATCGATGTTTTGAGACACATTTTAGATATATTTTGGAAGTAGCCATTGTAGGTGTATTGTACTTGGAAAAAAAATATTTCTTGTAAATGCAGTATATTTCTAGATTTTGGGTAAAAAAAAAAACTTATTTGGAATATGTTTTGGGTTTTGGCAATGTGATTTGAAGTTCTTCTGACATAATTTTAGGCTCCTTACATATATGTAACAAGCTTGTGAGTAAGTTTGTTAGAGAACTTGTTAACAAAGTGAGGATTGTTTAACCCATTGCCGCCGGGGATGGCATGTACATACATGCCATGCCCACTGTGAGTCGATTTGTTTGATTGTTTATGCACATAGATGGCTACACTTGTATTAAGTCACCATTGAGCCAATTACGAGTACTGCCTGTCTCGCCCGTTCACCCTTTTCATCGATTTATGAAAATATTTAATGTTATCCTAATTTGCTGTTAAAAATAACACCATCTATATTTATAACACTAGTAAGAATACATTTTTTTCCCGCCAATTCAAGGAAAGGTTAAATCAAGACTAGCAGAGCCATCTATGGACAGAGATATTTCATAAAAATATAAAAAATGAGTACAGCATTTTCCCCATTCTTTGTTCATTTTCCCCGGTGGCAATGGGTTAAAAGTACATTAGTTTTGTCTTTCAGGGTAAATGAAAGACCTAGTCATAAAAGAAAGGATAATGACTAGCAAAAAATGTGATTTGTCAGCCTCATAGTTCTGGGTTCTTATTACCTTTCATGTTGCATAAATTTTTTTTTTTTTTTTAAGGGCTTGGAAGAATCTTTATGTAAGCTTACCCACCAAAGAATGTGAATGGAGAAGAACAAGTGATCTCAAAATTAGTTTTCATGTATCATATCCTGTAATTCTTTTTTCCTGTGTCTCTTTTTGTCTCTCCCACCACTAATGTTTTTCCTACAGATCAGATACACAGAGACAGCCTCAGGGGAAGTAACGATAACCTCTGGTAGTGGGTACTCTGGAGATGGAAAAGAGGACCTTCGCAAGTGCCGTGAGGCAGCTGAACAGGCACGTAAGGAAGCAGAGAAGGCTGTTGAAGAACACATGAAATCCGTCACTGACTTGGACAAGAATTTCAAGAAGCAGGATGAGGAATTGGAGAAGACTATGAAGGATCTTGATGCACAG